CTTCCGGCTTTTTTCTTACGTGGTGCTGAGGAATCGAACCCAGGGCCTCGAGCATGCAAGGCAAGTACTCTACCACTGAGCCACCTTCCCAGCCCCATCTGTGGATCTTTTGATGATAACTTTAAACCTATTAAATTTGAAGGAGTTTCCATTGGGTCATAAAATTGCATTGCATTCTTCTATATTTTGCAAAGCCTTGCATTGTGATCTTCATGTGTTTCTTCCTTCTTGTTCAGATTTGTATGCTTAGGAATTCCCCACCCAATTCTTGGCCTTTGACTCAAGAAAATGGTGCTTGTAAGAAATATGCATAGACATTCTCATCACCTTTTAAAAACCTCATGAAAGGAGACTTCATTTTGTGTATAGCTCAGCTCACTGATTCTTTTTAATATCTGGGTTTGTTTTGACTCCAGGGCATATGGAAGTATGGCATACTACTCCTTAAAATTCATTGTGAATTTCTTCCATAATTTGATGCTGAAAGGGAAGCAGTAGGATTTTTCACTGTGGCATGTCTGCTTCTCATTTCAGTCCGCTGCCTGCTGAGGTTCAAGCAAATGACCATTGAGTGAAAGCTAGCTTGCATGTAGGAGTGTGTTAGCCTGACCAGAGCCTCTGATTCTGCCATTTTTTTGGCACTTGTGAATGGAGCTCTGCAAACATTTGGGGATAAATATTTGTCAGATCTCTGGTTTCAGCTCTTTGGCATGTAGTCCTAGAAATGGAATTTCTGGATCATATCACAATTCTATTTTAGCTTTTTGAAGAGCTTCCAAAATGTTTGCCACTGCAGTAAGCAACTTTAATTCCCACTAACAGTGCATAGGATGACAAATTTTTCCACATTCTTCCTAACGTGTATCATTTCCATATTTTTACTATTGGTATTAAAACCTTACTATGAGTATGAAGTGGTATCTCTGGTTTTGAGTTACATTTTCTTAATGACTAATGATATTGAGTGTCTTTTCATGTGCCATTTATATATCTTCTTTGGAGACATGAGCATTCAAAGAATATACCCATTTTTTTTGGGGGGGTGGTCTTGAACTCAGGCCTGGGCACTGTCCCTGAGTTTTTTTGCTCAAGGCTAGCACTACGACCACTTGGGTCACAACTCCAGTTCTGGCTTTATGGTAGTTAATTGGAGACAAGAGTCTCACTGTCTTTTTTGTCCTGGCTAGCTCTGAGTTGTGATCCTCAGTCTCAGCCTCTTGAGTAACTAGGATTCTAAGCATGAACCATTGGTGCCTGGCTACACTCATTCTTAAATTGAGTATATGAGTTATGCCCTAGCCTTTTCTTGCTTCAGGTACATACAGTTTTTTCCTAAGGTACCCCAATGACAATATTGAACACTATTATCTGCTACTCAGATAACAGTATTATCATGACTATTCAGCCAGGATCTAGCAAGTTATTTCATACTTCTTTTTGTTCTTTCAGTCATGGATAAACTTTCACCACTGACTCCTGTATCACCTAGAATTTCCTTCAAATCTTCACTTCAACATCTGGACTTAGAATGGACTGTCCAAAACCTTCCACATCACCAGGAACTAAAAATGATATTTCTGATAGAAATCAGTAGAATTAGAACATCCAATATCATCTGGGTGGTAAGTATGATTTGAGGGGCATAAGTGGCTTAATGTTCTTAAAATCCTTTTCTGGTGCCATAATTTGTCCTTTGTCTGTCTATTTTTTTAGCATCTTTTAATTGTGAAAGAGAATTTCATTTGACAGTTCAAATACGCATACAATGTACCTTGATTACCCCTTCCATTACTCTTCCTCCTCCTCCTTTCCAAAACCAATCTCTGAACAATCTTTGTTGTTCCATTTGGGTCATGTTCATTCTCCTTTACTCTTAATCTGTCTTTTATAACATAGAAGACCACACACAGCACAGAGAGTTTGTTGTGTGGCTCCAGGTGAGAGAGACAGGAAATTATCATCATTCTTTACCCCTTACCCAAACAGGGAAGATGGATAGCTACATACAGTCTCACTATGCCATCAGTGGCCATATGTCCCACAGAATTGTGGCTTCTATAAGAAGTCATTGTGCAACCCTCCCAGACCTGAAATTAAGGAGAGATGTAAGATTCTCTTCCGCTGGGCACTGTGGCTTACACCTATAATCCTAGCCAGTTGGGAGGTGGAGTTTGGGAGAATGATGGTTTGAAGCCAACCTGGGCAAAACATTCAAGGAGATTCTATCTCAAACAATGAAAAGATAGAGGTAATGATGCATGCCTTTCATCCCAGTTACATAGGAAGAGTAAATATGAGGATCGTGGTCCCACTCCAGGGGAAAAATACGATATTTCATATCAAAAATAACCTAAATCAAAAAGGCTGAATGCATAGCTTAAGTGGTAGAGCATCTGCCTAGCAAACACAAGGGCCTGAGTTCAAGCCCCAGGACTTCCTCTTTGCAAAGAAAATCCTTCTCCAGTGAAGGAGGAGAGGGCCCTTTGGGAGAGCCCTCCAGTCTGAACAGTACTCTTCTTTCCATAGGACTTTTTCTGCAGTGCAAGCCAGGCAGGGCATCTGATGCTGAAAGAGTGCACTCTCAGACCATTTGCTTTCCAAACAAGCCAAAGGAAAGCGTCTCCGTCGGGGAGCTTATCACTGGACCAGGGCACCTCTGGTGCAGAGCTGGTCTATCAAAACCCTGCTGACAGCCATGGTGTACAGTCCTTCCCTGGGTCAAACACCTGCCCTTCCTTCCAGCACTTTTTGAATGATTTGTCAGTGGAGAGAGAAAGAAGAGGAGCAGCTCAAGTTGGGAAGGAGGCCTAGCACATGAGTCAGTTTGGAGATAGTGCTCAAGCCTCAGCGATGAATCAGTGACCTTATTTATACTGTTGTGGCCTCGTCGGAGTCAGTTTTTGTGACTCACCAATGTCGAGAGGGCCAAATTAAACTAGCCTAATAGAATCTAAAGACAATTCCTTGCATTATTTTTTAATTACTGAATCAATGTATTCAGTTTTTTTATCTCTTTGATAGACAAAACTGTAAACACTACAAGCATAGATTTATGTTAGACAAAATCTGTACAGAATAGGTAGGAGAAACATAACTCATAACATGTCAATCAAGTGACTAATTATTCAGCTTGGGCAAGCATGGGGATTTCAATACTGAGCACACCACAGCAGGAATGAAGGACAAACACGCAGGGGTTGTTCTCAGTGTGTGTGTTGGGGGTGGGGCAGATACAGTCATTAGAATGATTAGTGAGCTGCTACAGGGTGGGGTTAGGCTTGACTTTCTCCTGCAATTTAGATGGACTTTGAGCCATAATGTGAAATGAAATGTGTGTGTGTGTGTGTGTGTGTGTGTGTGTGTGTACCAGTCCTGGGGCTTGAACTCAGGCCTTGGTACTTAGGCTTGAACTTTTGTGCTCAAGGCTAGCATTATACCACTTGAACCTCAACTTCACTTCTGGCTTTTTTGGTAGTTCTTTGGAGAGAAGAGTCTCATGGGCTTTCCTGGGCCCCGCTGGTTTCAAGTAGCAATCCTCAGATCTCAGCCTCCTGAGAAGCTAGGACTACAGATGTGGGTGACCCTGCCTGGCAATAAAAGGAAGTGGATGTGGAAATTGGAATGGGGGAGGCCAAGAGAGGGGCGTGAGGAGCTGCCAGGCTTGAGGGGGGCTCTGAGCACCCCGGGACAACCTGCGAAGGCAAGCATGAGATCCGACTACACAAGACCATATGAGTATGCACAAGGCTTGTTTGTTTGTTTTGGTTGTTGTTTTGTTTAGTTTTAATCTCAAGGGAAGTAAAGAAGGACAAAGTGGCAGGATGTGATTTGGAGTTTTGAAAAGCCCACTCAGCTGCAGAGCAGAAAACAGCCAGGAAACCTGGGAAAGAGCAGTGTGGTGGTAGTCAGAGGGTGGGGAGATTTGGCCAGAGCAGAGATGGAGGAGATGAGGGGCTCAGTTAGATGGACATGAGGGAAGTAAAATCAGTGTGTGACCTATTGGTGGTCTAGACAGGGCAGTTTCTTGTACAAGTCTAGTTTGGGACTTAGAACTCAGGGCTTGTGCCCTACCACTTGAGCCACACCAGTCAGTGCTAGTTTTCTTTTCTTTTCCTTTGGTTGTTTGGCCTTTGCATTTTGGTTTTAAAATGTCTTAGTAAAATGTTTCAAGATTGCATATGTTAAAAACAGTGAAAATTGAGTGGATCAGGACCTCTAAACTTATGGATAAAAAATACATTTGTGATCTAAGAATAATGTAATGCAATTATAAAACTTTTAATTAACATTCACAGCCTGCACCTGATTCAACTAGAGTGTCTCATTCCAAGGCACTATGAATTCTGCCAAGTACACAGTTTAAGTTCAGCCAGCTTAAGCAAGCATAGCGGGGAAGGCTTCAATATGACTATGTCTAGGGAGGATTTGATGTGTCCATTACCTCTATCTCTTCACTGAGAGCTTGTTGTTTGTCCTTATATACATGGATGCAGACCAAGACTCAGTTTCCCCAGGAAGTGACTTTTTGTTTCCATCTTCTAGCCACAGGGGCAGGAAGCAGGGGTCTTATAGGTGGCACACTGAGGAGAGCGAGTTCTTAGAGTTCTTAGAGCTATGGGGACACAACATGAAAGAAACAGTCTAGTTCACTTGGGGCCATGCTGGATCTATGAAGGCATCATGGGAGGTGGAGATAAAAGGAAATCAGAAGAATGAGCAGGAGAGACTTCATGAGGCCAAGGCTCAGTGGTAGAATGCTTGCCTAGAATGCAGACTCTGAATTCCATCCCTAATGCTGGAGATAAGAAAGGCAGGCAGGAGAGGAGGGAAGGAGGGAAGGAAAGGAGAGAAGAAGAGACAAAAGGCAAGGAAAGGCAGGGAAGGAAAGAAAAGAAAAAAAGGAAAGCAAGGGAGGGAGGATGGAGGAAGAAGGGAAAAGAAGGAAGGGAGGGGAAAGAAAAGAAAGGAAAGGAAAGGAAAGAGAAGGGAGAGGAGAGGAAAGGAAAATAAAGGAAGAGAAGAAACAGGAAAGAAAGAAAGGAGTGTCTCATGAAGAAGGCTAGTAGGACCTGGGGATTTAGGAATGGAGCTAACTCCTCAGATAGAAGAAAGCTGAGGACACTAAGCTAGAAGCACTGTGCGAGCCAGCACTGAGAGTTAAAAGCGCAGGTATGTCACAGAAGTATAGACAACTGCATCCTGGAGCATTGTTAAGTCATCTGGTGAGGTTGATATCTCTAGAGCCCAAGACTCTGACAGCTGAACCTTAAGGGAGAAGAGTGGTCTACATAGCCCCCATCTCTGAAAAGACAAGAGAGAGAGAGAAAAATGAGTGAGACATGGAGAGCTATCTGTAGACTTATTCTAGCCAATGAATGACAATAAGTAAATAAAGTATTAATCTTGATTATTCTTTTAAAGGGTTGTTCAATTTTCTAGCTTTCAAGAATTTTCTTAGCACATTTTCTGTGACCACCACTGTGAATACTTCCTGTCTCTAATCTCTCCCCCAAGACTTGAGTGCCTGCTGATTGCTTCCTGCTTGTCCCATACGGGGTCCCTGGAATCAAGGAGCATAGGTGGTGACATGGAATCTTCAAGAGGCAGGAAATCATCTCTGATTCACTGTTGAGACATCAGAGCAATGGGGATTGACTGGTTAGGAATGGATTTCACTTGTGCATGATGGTAGAGTTGAAATGGGGTAGAAATGTGTGCTTTGGGGAAGTGGCATTGAGCTGTCTTCTGGGTTAGGATGCCCATAAGTTTCCAATGACCTCCTTCACATTTAGGGGAATTACAGCACCACTGTGAAGTGGAACCAAGTCATCCACTGGAGCTGGAAATCCGAGTTGCCTTTAGAATGCGCCACACACTTCGTAAGAATAAAGAGTATGGTGGACAATGGCATGCCGCCCGAGCTGAGTTCCTGGAGTGAGTGGAGTTCGTGGGAGGAAGTTCATGGTAAGAAGGGGAATGATGTTAAAAGAGACTAGATTTACTACTTAATATTACTCAGGAAGCGGTTGGCAAGTCATGGAATTTTCTTTGAAGAATCTTGCGTAGATACCCCATGCCATTTTCTTTTGCCTCATATTGGCACTAAGAAGCATGGGTGTAGCCAGGGACTAGTGGCTCATGCTATAATCCTAGCTACTCAGGAGGCTGAGATTTAAGGACCATGGTTCAAAGCCAGCCTGGGCATTAGGGTCTGTGAGACTTTTATCTCCAGTTAATCACCAGAAAATCAAAAGTGGCACTTAGTGCAAAGCGGTAGAGTGTTAGCTTTGAGCAAAAGAGCTCAGGAATAGCACCTAAGCCCTGAGTTCAAGCCTCATGACCAACAACAACAAAAAAAAAAAAGAAAGAAAGAAAGAAAAAATGGAAAAAGAAGTGTCACGTGGATGTGAAATTTGCCACAGGGAGATGGAGGTCTAAGGTTTTTATCTTGGAACTTATTCATTGAGCTAATTATGAAGTTGTGTTGATTATATTCTCATTACTGTGATAAGGTACCTTACACAAACAAATTAAAGGATGAAGGCTTTATTCTGGTTCATAGTTACAGAGCTTTTACTCCCTGATTACTTGGCTTCTGTGTGTTTGGGCAGAATATCGTGGTGGCAGAGGAGAGCTTAGTTCTTGGTGTAACCAGCTTGGTTTAGTCAGATGGAAATTATGAATAGGCCAGAGAAAGCCATCAGAACAAGACTGCACTGGGACTTGTGCCTGGTACCCGGGAGGCAGTACACTGGAGTGTTCCTGGTCTGGCTTCCTGCAGGAGAGAGAAGAGGTGCTTACCTACACAAAGAGGGAAGTCCCACTGGGGTGCACAGTGCCCTGTCACTGGGCCCACACAATCTTTCTGCATGGCTCTGCTAGTCTGCCCATGTGCGCTGGGTCAGTCTGGCCTATGATGATGAGGTTGCGGTGACATGCTCACATAGCGACTAGAATGAAGACTTCAGGAGCATCCATAGCTGGAGAAGCACCATGGTGGCTTCCTAGGTGGCTCTGGAAGCTAGCAGAAACTGTGGCAGTTGATGGCAGCTTCTAGAATAGTCTCTGTGGTCCTGACAACGTGGTTGTGCAGTGGAAGCAGCCTCTATGGAACCTTTCCCAGCTGCATTAGCATGAAGCAGAGCAATGCCAGTGCTTGTCACTACCTTTCCTGATCCTGGTCCCCTGTCACCTTTCTGCACACCCAGGGCAGTGGCTACTGGTGCCTGGGCTCCAGACGTGGACAGGGGGAGGTAGCTGTCAGCCCAGAACTGAGTGATGACACCTGCTCCGCTGGCTCCAGACAGCTTTGGCTCTGGGAGAAAACCAACAAACTAAGAAAACTACAACATAAAAAGCAGAAAACACGCTTTGGGGAAGGACTGAGCCCTTTTATTCTATCTCTGCTAGATCATGAAGGACACAAGGCTAGGGAGTTGAACACACCTCATAGATAGACCTCCTGTGCCTTCTGCCACCGACTAGCTTAGCAGATGGCTCAGAGGACCTACGTGTTTCCCTTCGTACAGTAGGAGCTGACGTGAGATCCACTTCACCCAGGGCCTTCCACAGGCAGGGCTTCTAATAACACCAACAGAGGGATTGTGGGAATAATGGTAATGATACTGTCTTTGGCAGAAACAGTGATAATTCATATCATAGTAGGAGCAAGAGTATTTTTCATGTACCAAAGAAAGGGTATAGGTTTGATGAGGAAGTTCCAGCTGTTTTCTCAGGAGGCAGAAGAGCTAAGGAAGTCTGCTGAGGCTGAAGTGGGAGGGGCTTTGCCTTGGATTCAGAGCAAGATTCTAACCCAACTTTTTTTTTTTTTGTCTTGCAGCTCAAAATCCTCTTGAACCTAATGCATTGTTTGTATTCCCTAAACGGAAACTGGTGGAAGAGGGTGCCAATGTTACTATTTGCTCTATTTTTGGGAGCAATCTAAAAGATATATTCTGTTATTTGGAAGGTGAACTGATTCATGGAGAGCAACTTGACTCACATATACTGACATTCGAATTGAGTAATGTTCCTTTTGTTAGAGTATCAGGGATGAATTTCTACTGTGTGGAGAAGCCAACAAATATTACCGATGGCATTGTTCTCTTTGTCTCAAGTAAGTATGTCTTTCCTTTGAATCATTTCTGATAGACTATGCCGAACCTGTATTACTGAAGACAAGTAAACATTTATTTCCACACTGGTCTTCATTTCCTATTGTTTCTTAAGTCTTCTAAGGAGAGGGTCTAAAAGCAGTATCCTGAAGCAACACTTCCAGGATTTCCTGTTGTTTTCTTGCCTTGACAATTTCATTCCTAGAAACTGACATCATGAAAGGAGAGAAAGTTCAGATCATGACATGAAAATATCTTGCTTTCCTTCTGTGGTGGAGAAATTCTCTCAAGATCATACATGGAGGAGAAGGGCTGCAGAAAGCCAACCACAGAAAGGCAGCCAGAGTACTTGTCTGGAAGGCCTGGGTTCAGATCTTTCCCTGGCTGGGCCAAGTTTTCACCTCTATGGAATAAGGATTGTGGTGATCGTGAAGCCCAATGAACATAGACCGTGCCTGGCCCAGGCCTGGCTGCAGGCAGCTGAAGTTCAGCAAATGGTGATATTGCTGCTCATTCCTGTGGAAAATCAGTTCCCTGGGCTGCGTCAGTGGAATAGGAGCAAGTTGACTTTTTCCTGTAGGCCTCCATTCAGCAGCCTTCTATGTTCTGTCTTCCATCTGGCAACATCTGTGACATCTCCCTTCTGTGGTCATTCCAGTCTCCTGGATGCTTAGTGCATCTGTACCCCTTAGCATGGCCCTTAGAACCACAGTGATTGATGTCCTGCAGGACCTTCTCTCTTCCTTGCAGCTTTCTGCTCCCAGCGATGGAGTTTTGCCAGTTCACAAAGTCTGACTAACGTTCTGGTTCCCCTTGGGAGCTCTGTGAGTCACAGCGCCCAAAATGAAGCGTTGATTGGCACTGGGGACATATCTGTTCTCAAGGGAACACAATGCCAAACAGTTGTTCTGTCTGGAAAAAATCACCAGGGAGTCCAGAAAGAGGGAACATATTGAGAGCACCTGAAATGTGACTTTGTGAAGCTGGTGATCTGCTGCTGGCTCCCACCTTGGCAGACCCTTCGTGGTAGAGATGACTCTCTTGGCTTAGGATCTCATCCTTTTCCATCTGATGTATCTTCCAGGAAAGGGGCTTCATCAGGTCTTTCATCTTTTTTTTTCTGTTTCTTCTTATGGACAGAAGTTCTTGAGGAGCCCAAGGATTTTTCCTGTGAGACCCGGGACTTCAAGACTTTGAGCTGTACATGGAGTCCCGGGGTGGACACTGGCTTAGGTTGGTCTATGCAACCTTCCCAAAGCTACACTTTAGTTGAATCGTAAGTTCGTTCTGCTTGCCTTATTCACAGTAGAATCATTGTTAATAAAGCACGTGACATGACACAAGTCACATGTAATGTTGTAAAACTACCTTGAATGGATATTTTCAAACCACCTGCTGGGATCAGGCAGAAGTCTTGAAGTGATCAATATACTATTTACTACATATCTTTTTTTAAAAAAAAAGTTACAAAAATAAGAAAAAGCATTCATGATGTATCTGTATGGGAAAAAACATACCCTTTCATCTGATCATCTGGCTCTCTGACTTTTAGAGAATATTCAAAATAGTTTAAATGTTCTCACCACCCACAAGGGAGAGTCAGCAATTCATTGTCCACACATTTAATCACATCTAGCAAACTCATTGATGCATGTTTTCTATTACTAGTATTTGTTGATGATGGATCGAGGCAGTAGGTGGAATAAAGTTTTAAAGTGCCCAAAAGATAAGCATACATTTGGGGCTGTGACAGAAATATAGACCCTTTAATTCTTTTGTTTTGTTTATTTTTTAAAGAGTCTCTAGGGAAAGGAAACATTGTGAGCACAAAAATGTATGCAATTGGAAAATCACTCAAGAATTGCAAGAAATATATAATTTCACTCTCATAGCTGAAAATCACCTAAGGAAAAGGAGTGTCAATATTTTTTTTAACTTGACTCATCGAGGTAAGAATCGACTTAACTAACTTAAACTCATTCTGCATCCAGTGAATGTGCTGGAGAGTTTTCCTCAATTCACAGCCTAAGTGGAAGTTATACTTTCTACCCATTGCTTATTCCACAATTAACATGATGAGTGTGTGTATTCATTATTCGTTGTTTTTATAGTGTCTCCAGTACCATGGAACTTGCCAAGCACTTCAAAACTAGGACTGACATGAATTTGTCTCATATTCTATTCCACACTCTCCCAATGTTTCCCTCCCACCAAGATCATTACCATCTTCTTTATTGTGGTAACTAAAAACCAGGAGACCCAGCCCAGCTCTGATTGCTCAAGTCTGTAATTTTAATTACTCAGGAGGCTGAGATCTGAAGATCACAATTCAAAGCCAGCCCAAGCAGACAAATCAGAGAGACTCTTTTCTCCAATTAAACAACAAAAAACTGGAAGTGGAGCTGTGGTAGAACACCAGCCTGAGAGAAAAAACTGAGCAAGTATGAGAGCCCCTGAGTTCAACCCTAGTACGGCACGTGCGCGCGTGCGTACACACACACACACACACACACTCACACACACACACTCACATACACACACACAAATACTATTGCTTTAAATTGCGTGTAGATGTAAAGGTTTATGTTCTTGTTTTGTCCTTCTAAAATCATATTTATGTTTTGTCTCATTCACTGAGGATGTGATGCTCTATGTAATAGTCTATTACTTTCTTTTTATATAGCATTAAATTCTTATAATTCGCTGTTGATGCTCAAAGTGAATACTCAATACTCAACTCACTGTTGAGTGCTGTTATAGTCTGTTATACTTTAATATAGTATTTCATGTAAATGTATGGCATACACCTTTTTCAAAAGATTTCAGGTTGCCATGAAGGTTTTGGTTTTGGATACAGTTTAAATTAATATGAATAATTTGCTGTATTTATTTTTATTAGTATATGCTGGTATACAAAGGTGATGTTTGTTATAGGTTTCTCATACATAGTCTCTAGTAAATTAAATTCTTTTCTAGGTTTCATCAGTGCTTTTATCATAAAAGAATATTGAATTTAGCTATGCTACCATATTGAATTTGGCTTATGCCTATAATTCTAGCTACTCAGGAGGCTGAGATCTGAGGATCATGGTTCAAAGCCAGCCCGGGCAAGAAAATCTATGAGATTCTTATCGCCATTTAACCACCAGAAAAGTGGAAGTGGTGCTGTGGCTCAAGTGGTAGGGTGCTAGCCTTGAGCTGAAGAGCTGAAGGACAGCCTGTCGCTCAGGCCCAGAGTTCAAGCCCCATGACTGACCAAAAAAAAAAGAATGTTGAATTTTATTAAGGCCTTTAAAAGTTATTATTATTGTAAAGGTGTTGTACAAAGGCGTTACAGTTACATAAGTCAGGTAATGAGTTTCTTTTCTTTTTGAATAATGTCAACCCTTCCCTCACTCTTTCCATCCCCACCACAAATTGTATGGTTCATTTGCAACATAGTGTGTAGTGAGTATCACTGTGGCATTTGTTCACTCTTTGTCCCACCATTTCTGTATCACCCATTTACCCTCTCAGAGACAGATAAACAAACAAAAGCAAAAGCAAAAAATTTATTACGGTTTTCTTTTCCTTTTGTCTTGTTCATTTAATATGAACGTTTTTACATGTGAGCCAATACCCATCTATCGTGTGTGTGTGTGTGTGTGTGTGTGTGTGTGTGTGTGTGTGTGTGTGTGTGTGCTGGTCCTGGGGCTTGAACTCAAGGTTTGGGCGCTGTCCCTGAGCTTCTTTTTCTCAAGGATAGCACTCATCACTTGAGCCACAGACTCACTTCTGGCTTTTTCTGGGTAGTTTAGTGGAAGTGAGTTTTATGGGCTTTCTTCCCTGCCTTGGCTGGCTGTGAACTATGATCTTCAGATCTCAGTATCCCGAGTAGCTAGAATTATAGGCCTGGGCCACCAGCACCTGGCTGACTATGGGAATTGGTGGAGACAGAATGCCTAAATAATTGAATATATCAAATTATTTTCCCAAGTGGTTATTCCAGTTATACATTTGCCCTATGGATTCAAATGTTCTCCTCAAATTGGTATGATCTCTTCCATTTGCCAATGGAAGGAGTGTGAAGTGACATTTCATGTGATCTTGATATATCTTTCTCTTCCTATATTTTGATCTACATTTGATCTATATTCCTCTACCTATGTTTTGAACACATCCATTTTCTCTTTTATGAAGTAGAGTTATTCATAGTTCTTTGTCTACTTTTCTATGTATTGTTTATGTTTTTCCCCATGGGTAAGAATTATTTATTCTTGACATTAAGCCTTTGTTATCAAGTCCTGTTTGCTAATATCATCTTTCAGTTTGTACCTCTTCACTTTCTTTTACATGTCTACTGATAAACAAAGGTTCTCCACTTTAAAAACTTCCATGAAAATCTCTTAAATCCTTGTCTACTTCAAAATTAGAAACATAATCACCTATAAATTTCTACTGAGAATTTAAAAGTTTTTAAAAGAAAATAAAAATCTCAGCTCCACCTAGTACTTATATTTACATATTAAATAAGGTAGAATTATATCATTGGTGATTTTTCAATTCAATTATTTATTTGTATTTGTATTTTATTTGTATTTGCTGGTCCTTGGGCTTGAACTCAGGTTCTGTGTGCTGTCTTTAAGCCTCTTTGTGTTCAAGGTAGCACTCTAGTGCTTGAGCCACAGCACCCCTTCTAGTTTTTTTCTGAGTAGTTTATTGGAGATAAGAGTCACACAGATTTTTCTGCCTAGGCTGGCATCCAACTGCAGTTCTCAGGTCTCAGCCTCCTGAGTAGCTAGGCTTATAGGCATGAGCCACCAGTGCCTGATTTCAATTCTATTTATTAAAACCTCTTCTTTTCCTACAGGTTACAGAATTCATTAGATAAAAATAATTGTATATCTGATCTTTCTTGAGCTCTGTTACCTGGCTTATGGTTTCTGGTAAATTTGATTCATATTACTCTTTAATATTTTGTGTTACTTCCTTAGAGCTTTCTGTATAGTTGAAAACTCAGTTACCTTATTACCTTTGGCTTCCCCTTGGTTCTGTCCTTCATTTACAGTATTGTGTCCCTAGATCTTTGTTCCTTTGCCCTCATTCCTCAATCCTGCTGGAAGCTTAACTACTCTAGGGTTTTAAAACCCAATTTTTAGCTTTTAAAATATCCCCTTTATACCATCCTTTTTTATTAATTGAATTTTCGCTGTTCTTTTCAAATTTTTTTCTATTTTCTTAAATTTATTTTGTTATTCCTTTATTTTCTTACAGTGAAAACTGGCTCATAAACAAAATATTTAAAGCTGTAAACTTCCACTGAAAAATCAGTTTGGGGCATCTGAAATAACCCAACAAGTTTTGGCATTGGGACACTTTCTTTCCAGTGGAGTACATATGATACTATTTCTAATCCATTAATAATCCATGCTTTTAAGTTTTCCAAAAGGAAGAAATTCTCATTTTTTATTATTAATGTCTGTTAGAATTTCACTGAACCAGAGAAGATGTCTATGTAATATATTTGCATTGAACTTGTTTTTATGGTCTAGTATCTGGCTGTCAACATGTGTTTTGTAGATCAGAAGCTTTATCATGCATAGTACTGGGGAAATGCAGGCTCTCAGGCATTGATGTATTGTATGATGAACTATAAATGCTCTATGCATCTATTAAGTGTTTTGTTGTGTTGTTCAGGTCTTTTATACCCTCGACTTTTGAAAGTTGTATTCAAATTACCTTTGTACTTTAATATGGTTTTGTTTAGACATTTTGAAGATACTTTATAAGGTTTGAAGTTTAAATTTGTTGTATCTTCTTTTGGAGTAGTTCTGGAGTTTAACTCAGGGCCTACTCACTCTGCTTGCTTGCTCAGCTAGTGCTCTACCAATTGAGTCATGCTCCAGTACTGATTTGTTAAAAGTTCATTAGAGATGAAGTCTCTTGGACTTTTCTGCCTGGTTTGGCTTATAATCCTCCTGTTCTAACTTCAAACTCCAGAGCATTACAGTCTCAAGACCTCAGCATCTAGCCAGTTAAATCTTCTGTATAATGTATTAGCTTTTCTAGATGTTTTTAAAAATTGTATTTCTTTTGTTTATTTAATGATCTTGGTCTGTTTTGTTCTAATACTACTGCTACGTGGCAATCTGTAGGCCGTTTTGTTGTGTTTGTTGCTATAGTTATGTAGCTCTGATGATATTTCATTATGTTAGCATATGTGCTTGAATTTCCCTGCAAGTATCAGATCATGTTTTGTCGGACCATAAATATCAGTGAAGCCTAGCATCCCATTCCTGTCTTTTCAGCTCAAATCTAAAATGGGATGATCAGGGATAGAGAACTAGAAGTTTCAGGAAACTATTCCTACACCAAGCAGTCCTCAGGTCAAGTTTCACCCTCAGCCACAGCTCCATACCTCCTTCTCCCAGGAAGCAAGCTGTGGTAGGGATGGCCAGCATAGCTATCACCACAGAGTGTAATTTGGTTGAGTGGGCAGAATGTTCAGGTCCAGTCTCCATCAAAAGATGACCATCTGATTAGATGGCTGCTAGAGCTCATTATGTTGTATGTTTTTGGTTTGACAGTTATCAGTGAAGGGTTACAAACCATTAGTCAGCATGTTTTTTAAATCTCTACATAGCCAGAGGAAGAGCAGGTGTCCCTTTGCAGAGATTACATTTGTGCATACAGCAATGGGTCCTCATCTTATTTGCACAGTTCTGGTTAATAACTCAGCTCAGTTGGATATGTCCAATTTCATCGGTGCACTCTGCAAGCATTCAAGTAAGAACAAGTGGTTCACACCATAGCATCACATGTAGCACTATAGTCATAAGATGCTTTGTCTCCAGAGAGCTGTGCCCAATGGTAAGCAAAGATAGGAAATGACAGAGGGAAGGAGGGAGGGAAGAAGAGAGGGAGGGAAGGAGGCAGGGAAGGAGGGAAGGAAATAGGGAGGAAGATGAGGAGAAAGAAAGACTCAGACCACATCCTCCCATTTTCACTGGGATTACAGTCATGTACTGCCATGTCTAAGTCAAGATCGTTTTGGTTATTATGTGTTTATTACACATTTCCTTGTAGTTGTCCTGTGTTAGGTTTCATTGTGAGCTTGTTAGTTTCTGTCAAGGTTTTACCATGTGTTAGAGCTTTCTTTTTATAATAATCTCAGATTTCACAGAAGCTTTTTGTATTCTTTAAAAATCTTTTTTCCTGGCAGGGATTATGGCTCACATGGTAGAGTACCAACATAGCAAGTTTGAGGTTCTAAGTTCAAACTCCAGTACTGCCTCCCCCCCAAAAAAAATCTCCTTTTCCTCCTATTGTATCACTCTACCTCGTTCATCTGCCACATGTTTCTACTGAGCCTTGGAGTGAGGTTTTAATTTTTACTGTATTTTTTTCAGCTTTAAAACTTCTATCTTAGTTCTTCACTGAGATGTTCTGGATTTGTTTTTGTTGTTTGCCTTTTATTTGGTGCATTTCCTGATTGCCTGTTAAAACAGTTTTATATAACACTTGCTTAAAACTTCTCATAGATAATTTCAATCTCCAGATCACCTTTGGTCACTTTTTCACCAGCATTGGTTGACTATATTTTCCGATTTCAACTGAGACTTCTTCCCTAATGGCTTGTATTTGGGATTTTTTCTAGATACTTTGGGACCACTGGAGGATATTGACAATTTTATTTCAGTTGACCATTAACTTGGTTAGATGTGGGCCACATTTCAACATGTGCTTGTGAGCCATGGGTCCAGTGGTAGTTTAGAGCTGTGCAGTGCTTTTTTAAAATCTGTATATCTAGTCTAGGACCTGGTTAGTGATCTGCCAAGTCTTTGGTATGTTCTGTAATGTGAAGTCCAGGCAAGCACAATTGGGAAGTGAACATGGAGCTAATGAGCAACTTCCTACAGCCTCATTCCCAAGTTCCTTTCTTTCCGTGATTGCCTGTGGTACCAGGGAACTGGAATCCTTTTGATTCTCCAGCGAGAAAACTGGGACTTTACACTCACTTTCACTGTTGTATTCTCATGTAAGCCAGGTGTTGGGAGGAGTGATGGAAAAGAAGAGGAAATCCATTGCCAGTTCAGTAGTATTTCCAGTCTCTTCGTTGCTATTTACTATTCGAGTTCCCATGCTATGAGTCATATCTACTTCCCTCTGTGAATGCAGGACAGACAGTGCTTCACCCTGCCAATCACGGAGGTCAGTGGAAGGGCAGGACACACAGTGCCTTCCATGTGTCTTTTTTCACAATTGAATCCCACATGGGCTTTTATTTCAATTATAGTTTGGGGTTTGAATTCTCTTTTGATAGCTTCTGTTTCTTTGCCACACTTTTTCCCCTTTTATTCATTCCAGCTGTGTTGAGCATTATACAAATGAAGCTATTTTGAAGCCACTGCCTAATGGTGGCATTTGGAGACTGGCATCTGTTCATCATCTTTTCCCTGAGGAATCAGGGCATTATGCCAGATGTTTTTAGATATTGGATAATTTGCGGTTATATCCTAGACAGCGTTCATGTGATTTTGTTTTTGTTTTTATATTTTTTGCTAGACTCTGGGTTCTGTTTACATCAACCTGCATGGCTCCCTTTTCTATGCACAGCTCCTGTTTTGTGTCTGATCAGTGAGTGAGAAAGGCTGTACTTGACTCTTACATCTTGTGACTAAATCCGGTTTTGTTTGCCATTTTCTTTAAACATGAAAATGCTTGCTGATCAAATAAGTGAAATAAAAATTTTTCTTTAGTCCTTTCGGATCTGAGTTTGTTTCTTTCTTTTGTGTGTTTGACAGTTCATCCATTGGCTCCCTATAATGTCAGCCTTGAAAGTATAGAAGCCACACAAGCCACATTAAGATGGAAAGTGCTCTACCATGGAAATCGTTACTCACTTTTGTGTCAGGTTGAACTTGAAGGTGAAGGAAAAGTGATACAAGTAAGTGTTCAGCTTAATTCTCTATTTTTAAAAGTCTTTTGATATAACTAAAAGAGAGACTGCTGAAAAAAATTATCATAATGTTGTGACGCATACCTGTATTCACAGAAAGGCAAGGAGGATTGTGAGTTCAAAGCCAACCTGGGTTACAAAGGGAAATACTGTTTCAAAACACACATGCACACACACACACACACACACACACACACACAAATACATGTATCCCTTTAAAGTATTATGTCTGTGTTTGTTATATAGTGTGGATCATCTGTTGAAAGAGAAATAAAGGGCTGGAGATGTAACTCAATGGTAGAGTAGCTGTCTAGAAAACACAAGGCTCTGAGTGTAAACCCCAGTAGTATCAAATAAATAAACCAATAAATATATTAACTAATTAACCTTTGATTATTGGGGAAAAGGCCTCATGGATTTTTTTCCCCAAAGGAAAAATTGGCCTTTCTCCCACTCAGGATTTTCTGTGCTCTGATTTAGGGTTGCATTGAAGTGTAATCACTAATAATTCAGTCTTCTTCTTTGCTTTTTTGCTTTCTTTTCTTCTCTGGTCAAGCAGTCCAATGTGTCCGTTAAGGTGAGCGGTGAGGAAATCTTCAGTGAACTGGTGCCTGATACCGAGTACCAGGCCTGCATCCGATGTGCAGGTGCAGGCCACTTCTGGAAGTGGAGCGAATGGAATTGTCAGAAGTTCAGCACATCTGAGGCAGGTATGTTGCTTTCCCTGGAACTTAAGCTGAGGAAGGACGAAGCCCCAGGAGATGGGTTGACTTTCTTGTGAGCTTTGAGCTGCATCTAAAACTAAGAGGACCACCACATTACAGCTGAACGAAGAGAGCATTTGAAAAACTGCAACAAATGCCTAATGAGCAGGAAGACAGCAAACTCAAATATTTGACATCAGTGTTCTTTCTAGGACATTCTATCACTTGCTTTTCATTTTTCTAAAATAGTTTCTCAGCTGTTGCTGTTTCTAGATTCCTATTGGAGCTGAGGCTGTTTTAATTAGCCTAGATCTTTAACTCAAGACTGTGGAAAAATGGAAATTGTTAAATACGATGGGAAACACTGGTCTCATACTAAAGTAAACTTAAGCATCAGCTCATATTGGGCAATGTAATGCTATTTTCAAGCTCAGTTTTAGGACACACTGGAAACCTTCTCTGCATTCTCTTGGCATTAGTTTCTGCAGAGCTGTACAGTTTCCCCAAATAATATGCCCCCAAGCTCAACTGGGCTTGAGGAAAAGAGCTATCCTAGTCTTGCTTCCAGATCTTTCCAGTTTTACTGTTGTTCCTGAAAGACTCACCAAGTTTGCAGTGTTAATGGCACACACAATAACAACGACTGCAGCTCACATCTGTTGTGTGTTCACTACCAATGGAAGCACGGTTAAGGTGCTGTATGATTGTAGAGGAGGCCACTGAGGCACAGACAAGTGAAGTCATTTCTCAGACCCAGCTGTGGGTGACTAAGATCCTTCTCAAACTCATCAGCCTGGCCTGGAGCCCCTCCTTAGCCAGCACTGGGTTTGGTGTGTTATCATTCCACATTGTTATTACAGCCCTGAAATCATGTTGATTCAAGTCCTGGCCAAGTTGTTGCCCAAGGCAGGACTACACATGTACATTGCGTCTCTTCTTTGTTGTGGATTGGCGGCAAAACTATTTCTGCGGTATTCTGGGGACACACCATTCAAGCAATGGCTCTAATTTGTAGACAGTAATGGTAACTAATCAAATGTACAACAGGATTGGTGCAAAGGGAAATAGGAAATGGGTAGAATATCTTTGGATTATAATATCATAAGCCTGAAAACACTTTTATACAGGCTTTTGGTCCTGCCAAGAAAGTAAGATACGGTAGTGGTGCTGTGGCTCAAGCAGTAGAGTGCTAACCTTGAACTGAAGAGTTCAAGGACAGCACCCAGGCCCAGAGTTCAATGGACAAAAAGAAAAAAGAAACTAAGATGCATCCTACTGATGGTGAATCTATAGGTACTTATTTACCTGTGATAACATTTTTGCTTAATTAGTGCTGGAAAACTCAGTGTTTAAGCGGATTGTCACAATTAAGGTATAATCAATGTCACGAGGGCATAGATAGACTCAAAGAACATCGTAGGAGAAACTGTATTTTATTGGAGTGACCACAGCCTGGCCTTCATCACAGCTGTATGTTTTGGTTTGGGTAGTCATTTTCAAACCAGCTGACAAGTGCTTCCACCCCTGGAGGGCCCTCTGCTGGGCACTGCCAGTACAGCCAGGAAGTAACAATGACCTGCTACCTACAAAGTAAACACATGGGGAAAGGTATCTGACTTAACGCCTATAATTACTCTGATAAAAAAATTATTGGTGGCTTTCAGATGCTCTAGGTCTTGTCATTTATAAAAGATTTGAGTGTCTTGTTGTATTCAGGACCAGCTGATCTTTTTCTTCTCTTAAACACCTATTATGTACGCCTAGTGGGAAGTAAGTAGCATGGCTTTGGGCACAGGGGTAGAAGTCATCGAGAACGGAGGGTGAGAGGCAGACCACTGGCAGGGAAGGTGATCCTTGCTGTCTTAGAATGACGTTGAGTGTGTGCATTTGGTTCATGCTCATCTTTTAACCCAAGGTCTTCTCTTTGCTCAGCTCCCTCGGAGGCTCTCGCTGTCTGGAGCACAGTGAGGGAAGAGAATGGCAGTTGTATTGTGAACTTATTCTGGAAGGTAAGACGTGCAGCTTCAGAATGTCTGATGCTGCCTCTGGGGTTTCAGTGACTCTAACTAGCATGCCTCTGCCCAGCAGCAGGGGAGGAGGACCTCCACATGAGTCCTGGTTGGGCGCGGGGTCCCTCCATACCTCCATCCTAATGCTTGTACCCCCACTTCCCTGACAGTGAGTGCATGCACTAATTGCTAGAACCTTTAGAACCTTCTTGTCAGTGTGTTCTACTCTGCCATCCTTAACTTCCACAAGGCTCAGGTATATGCGGAAGACCACACACCATATGTAGATAGATAATGCATTGGGTGGTACCAGAGTTTGAACTCAGGGCCTTGCACTTGTTAGGCAAGAACTCCACCACATAAGCCATGTCCCCGGATCTTTTATTTTTTTGCTTTAGATATTTTTCAGGTAGGGCACTTTTGTCTAGGGTCATCCTCAGACAATGATCCTCTGATTTATGCCTACCACATAGCTGGAATTATGCATGTTCCCCATCATGTTCATCTTGTTCGTTAAACTTTTGCCTAGGTTGACCTCAAACCACAATCCTCTGCCTCTCAAATCACTGAGATTCTAGGTATAAGCCCCTTCCACATATCATATTTTTAAGTTATGAATACTTAAATACCTTATGTATATTTAAAACTTCAAATCAATATAGTAAACTTCATACACAGCACATTGCATCCTGCTACCTGGCCTCATCTACTCCAGGATGACCTGGAAGCCCAGCTTTGTATTCAGAACTCTAAGATTCTTTGGTGTTTTAGACTGAAACATGGTGAAAGAGTTATTGGCCCCTGGCTACACGCCTCCATGCTTTTCTTCCCTCCTGGAGTTTGGCACATTCTGTAGAGACATCTGTACATACATACATACATACCCACCAGGCTCCTTCCAGGTGCTGTCCAGACTCAGCCTCAGGTGGAGGATGCACACTCCAGAGCACAGTCTGTCCTGGCAGGGGGTGGGGGTGCGAAGCAGACCTGGACCTACTACCACTACTGTGTGGACAGGAAATGCTCTACAACCTGGAGAATCTTCTAGAAGATGAGGAAAGTTGGTCCTGGGTGGGGAGAAGACATGACTGGACAAGAGATCAGAGCAGGACTCCGGTTCCTCCTGCAATGATATTGAGGTGCTGCTGGCTCTTCTCCCAGATCTTCTCTTCTTGGGCTGCCCCCATGTTTTATTCTTCCTCCATGTCTTATTCTCCATCCTATTGACTCCAGACTCCATCACTGCTCTCTGAACATTGTATCTTGAATATAATCCCTAAATGATTGTACTCTCCACTCACTTTGCTTAATTAGAATGCTTGATTCCAGGTTTTGTGTAGAGAAGTTTCCTTTTTCTATTTAATTGTTTAAATTACCCAGGTGCCAGTGGCTCCTGTTTGTAACACTAGCTACTAAGGAGGCTGAGACCTGAAGATCTCACGGCTAGCATGGGCAGGAAAGTCTGTGAGACTCTTCAATTCATCACCAAAAAGCCAGAAGAAGAGGTATAGATCAAGCGGTAGAGTGCCAGCCTTGAGCAAAAAGCTAAGGGACAGTGCGTAGGCCCTGACTTCAAGCCCCAGTATCAGCACACACACACACACACACACACACACACACACACACACACACACACCACAACACACATACACACCACAACACAAAAAAATTGTTTAAATTATCTTGTCAGCATGGGGTGAGAAGTAGTTTGTGCATGTATATTTGCATACATGTGGGCCAGGAAGTGGTAGATAGAAAAAAATAAAGAAGTACTTATATAAAATTCTTTCCAAGTAAAGCCCATTTTGAGAAATTTGTGAATGTTTGTTTGTTTGTTTTCAGCCATTGTCAAAACTTCACGCCAAAGGCAAGATCCTACACTATAATATAATTACAGAAAATCTAGACAAACCACACAGGGTAAAACTGTACTCCGCTTCAGGACTAGCTAATGACATGAAACTAACCCTAGACCAGTGTGCTTACCAAATTAATGTCACAGCCAGCAACAGTGCAGGCCAGTCCCCTGCATCTGTCATTGCCATCTCTGGAGACTCTGGGAAAGGTGAGTTGTTCTGAGTGGTTTGATTTTCATACTCTCTGTGAGCAAAAAAGCCAAGCAAGAGTGCTAGGCGTTGCATTCAAGCCCTGCTACAGCAAAGCAAAAACAAACAAAAAAAAAAGCTTGTATTTGCAGTGTTAAAGAAGCAGCTTGCTGAGAGTTATAATCCAAATTTGAAGTATATATTAAGAAGTAAATGTTCATCTCTGTGTAAAGGAGATTCATTCCTTTGATGGAGGAAGGTGAGGAAACTATGAAGGTTAGGTCTGCAAGGCCTTCTTGGGCTCTTACCTTAAACCAGGGTGGCCCCAACCCTTTAACAATGCAATGTTCTAGAAGAATATACTGTCACCATGCTTTCAATCCAATGTTCCTCCATAATCAGGATTGCCAGAATGTAAGATGCCCAGTGTAATTTGAACTGTGCACAACAGGTAAGTCAGTGTTGTGTATAAGTCTCTGTAGAAAAGAATGGTTGGGGGAGAGGGGGAGTGTGGTTGAGGAGTTGGGAGGGAAGGAAGGGTAGTGGAAAAACAAAGGAGGAGGCAACAATACTGGATAGGAAGTGTACTCACTACCTTGCTCGTATAACTGTAACCCCTCTGTACAGTATTTTCACAATAAAAAACTTATTAAAAAAAAAAGAATAGCTCCATGAGGCCATGTTGCCTTTGTGCTCATTGTCAGGCATTAGGAAAAGGGCCTGAACACCAGACACATCAGGCGGGAGCCTCCTCTGTCACAAATGCTTATTATTCTCTACTTAATTCCCACCCTGCGCATCTCAGAAGCAGTGGTCAGTCCAAGGGCAGCCTGGACTGTTGAAACAGATCAAGTGTCAGTTTGGGCTGTAGGTTAAGGATCAGCCAAGAGTTTCTTGGTAAAGGGATAGAGAGTAAATATTTCAGGCTTTTGAAGTCTCTCTGTATATTCTATGCTCTTCTTTGTTCATTGATTATTGTTGATGATCACTGATTAGTTTTATAAAACCCTTTTTTGCTCAAGGGTCATATCTTAATATGACACTTATGTCAGCCTTAGAGACTGGAACTTTTCTTCTGGCAATAGATGGTCTGCTGACTGCTGTTCTAGGTGCCAAAGCCCAGTTGTGTCTCCAGATGTCAGAAGAGCAGGTCACCGTTCAGTGACAATGTCTCCTGGCAAGCTGGAAGTCCCCCCACCAAGCCTCTTGACGTGGGCCTTAACATGCTTGGCTCTTAGCTGGGAACTACTATCAGTCAGCTTTTTGTAAACAACTATCTGAAGTAAACACTATTGAGATTTTTCTGAGGTTTCTGTTCAAAAATCAATTGTGTTGTTTTGGGGTCTGGTGGCAAGGCAGAGTATCATGGTGGGAGCATACAGTAGAGTAGAGCTGATCCCCTCATGATGGCCAGGAAGAGACAGCAGGTTGGCACAGACCCCAGTGACTTAACTTCCACTGGACTCCATATCCTAGAAGGGTTATCATCTCCCAATAGCCACGTTTTAGGACATAGCTTTAGGACATAGGACCTTTGAGGAAATTTCATGCCAAAATCTAGCCGATACATAGCCTATGTAGATTCATTTTCTTTAGAAACTGTAAAAAAAATTACAATTATTTAAAATTAGAAGCATTATTTTTTTTATTTTATAGAAGAAGTTGAAGAGGAAAGAATTCAACGTACAGAGGATGGATTCTTTGTGTCCTGGAAACCTCTATCTGCAGACAACATCATAGGCTATGTTGTGGGCTGGTGTGTGCGTCTCCAGGACCCACTCTGTGATTTGCAGTGGAAGAACATAGGACCCAATACCACAAGTACAGTCATCAGCTCAGGTAAGAACTGCTGCCCTCCCACTCTGCCCAGTCCACTTAGCAAGTTACTTTGTGTCAAGCTCATTATTTCAAAGCAACAAATCTAACCTGGGCTCTTGGAGTTCAGACTGCATACAACTGCATACTAAGATTGGATTTTTAAGTCTACTTTCACAGGATATATGGACCCCAGGTCCAGATTCATTTACTTCATGATGATAAGCTTGCTCTTCTAAAACTAGAGGTCTCAAATGAATGACAGGGACATTATAACCACTGGGCAGAGAGCTCGGTAAGAGACAGAGAAGTGCACAGATTGAGAGTTGTTTGGAACCTATAGTTGGTGGGAGTCAACCCTCAACTTGGAATTCTGATAAATTCAGAATCTGGATGGCTCACCTCCCACATTGGATTTATAAGGAGGCATGCTAGTTTAGCAAAGTCAAAGGCATCCAGGTTTGGGGCTTAAGCAGGAGGGGTATGTGGCGCCATCTTGTGGATGGAGGGAAAGATGTGGGAATTGCTGTTTCCTGCAGAAGATGGATTGCCCTGCAGGTTAGAGTGGCCAGGTGGGGGCAGGGGCAGGAGGGAGGGGGTGAAGAGAGTGCAGAGAGGCAGAGGAGAGGGGAAATGAGGAAGAGGAAGCAAAGCTTCCAAGACCTTGAGCTGTAATGGTTGAGGCAAGGACCCTGAGGAGATTTCAAGTCAATGGAGGGTTTGGAAGGGTTTTGCCCCCCAGTTCCATGCACATGGAGAAGGCCATGTATGGCAGGTGTGGCTTGTCTCCTGACAACGATGACAATCCTGTAGCTTTGCTGGAGTCAACACCACAAGGTCAGCTGTTTACAACACAGATGATTCTAAGGCTTCAGGGAAGGAGTTGGGGATGGTGGAGAAATTGCAGCAATCCTAAGAAGGAAATGATCCGGGAAACACAGATTCATTTTTCACTCTTCTCCTTTCCAGAATCCAGGGGAACGCCATTTTGTATTGTTGAAACTGTGTTGACTTTTTCTTCTCCAGATGCTTTCAGACCAGGGATTCGATATGACTTCAGAGTTTATGGAATATCTACAGGACGGGTTGCTTCTTTAATAGAGAAAAGAACAGGATACTACCGGGAACTGAGTAAGTGGAAAGCATTTAATGGGGCCCTGTGAGGATTTGTTCAGATCCATCCATAGATGCCAGCTTTGTGTTGAGGAAGATTTTTCCCCTTGCCCAGTTTTCATGTTTCCATTTATACTAGGAATTGCATTTTTAAAAAAATAATGTAGGCATAAAAAATTTTCCTTACAAGGTCATTTGTGAAATATAATGCAAAAAAGGAAATTGTTGCTAATAAGGCAAACATTCAGTTCTATCATAAATGAGCATTCTTCTCTTTGTATAGACATATACTTTTAAATAAAAAATGGGACCTTACTCTGTTTGAATACAAGCTGATTTTTTTTATTCTTGTCCTAAAATATTATTTAACCATGTCACTTTCATGACTGAAAAGAGCTATAGTACAAGTCACCTTTTACTGGACAGTTTCAGGGATTACAATTATTTTCACTGATAAACTATAAAACTTACCCTAGTATCTTGTGCTTCTAAGGGCTAAATCTCTCTCTTTCTTTGCTCTTAGATCCTACATGAATCATTTTCATTTTACTAAGTCTTTGTCAATACCCAAGATAATGACTCTTCAATGAAGTCCTGGAGCTAGAATAGTATTCATGTCAAGGGTTCCTTTGAGCTTTCTTGTTAAGGACACACTCAGGGATCCCTGCTCTACTTCTTGAACCATGCCTCCAATCCTCTTTCCTTTTGCTATTTTTTGGGGGGGTCTGGTTGTGGGGCTTGAACTCTTGGCCTGGGTGCTGTCCCTCAGCTCTTCAGCTCAAGGCTAGTGCTCTACCACCTGAGCCACAGCGCCACTTCCAGCTTTTTTCTTTTTGCTTATGTGGTGCTGAGGAATCCAACCCAGGGCCTCAGGCCTGCAAGGCAAGTGCTCTACCACTGAGCCACCTTCCCAGACCCATCCTCTTCCCTTTTGTGTGTTGGATATTTTCAAAGTAGAGTCTTGCTTTCTGTGCATCTGGCCTGGACTCCAGTCCACTTACTTGTGCTTTCCCACTCTGCCCAGCCACTGTGTTTCCTCCATAGCTGGGCTAACAGGCAAATGCTATCATGCGCATCCATTGGCTGAGATGAAGCCTCTGGAACTTCTGACTGGCCTCAAACCATAATCCCTTGATCTCTGCCTCCTAAGCAGCTTTGAAATAATTAAGTATACCCTCTGTTTCTTGTATAATGTTTAAGAATTTTCAGTCATGTTGTGAAAAGGTCTGCATAGTTCCACCATGGTCGCTGTAGCAGTGTGGGGAGTTTCATTTTCCTTGTGGAGTACTCATTCACACTCTGACATCCAACATCCCAGGCCACTGAAAGCAGCACGGGCAGCAGGACTTGATTCTCTCACATGACCAATGCTCACTGTCTTCCCTTGGGAGGAGCGAAGTTGCCTCTGAGGAGGAAGGAGGGGAGGGGGGCATGGCTGAGCATTGGTGGCTGTGTTCATGTGCGTAGAGCAGTGTGCAGAACTCTGGTGTGGCGGAGCAGGTCTAGGAAAAGCTTCCATATACATTCTCAGATTTTCCTACTGGTATCTGAATAACTTCATTGCCTTAACTTGGGAAATAGAGTTCTTCTGCCATCTGGCCTCTTACCTCTCGGAACATAACCCTGCCTCTTCCTTCCCATCTTCTTCTCATCTGTAGGTCCTCTGTTGGGTCTTCTCTCAAATGCTAGTTAGGCTTCAAGTTCACAATCAAGCCTAAGAAAGACTTGTTCCTTGTAAAAATGTCTATGTGATCTTGTGCAAGTTACTTTGTCTGGGCATCTGTGTCTTTGTCTGTGAAAGGTGTGGCTTGAACAAGAACGTTATCCAATTCCTTCCCAGTTCTCACAACCTTACATTAAACTCACAAGGGACACAGATAAAGCTCCTTACTTGGCATACGCGCCATGTTGTCCAGAGCTGCTACTGTTTTCCGTTCAGTTTATGTGGGTGTTCTCAGACCATTTCCAAATCACAATGTTTTCTCATCTCTTCTTTCTCTCTCAGCTCCTTCAATGAACCCTCGAGTGACCGTGAAAAACTTGACCTCCCACTCCTTTGTTCTGAGCTGGACGGATTACTCCACAAATGACCAGTCAGGTTTTATTCAAGGGTACCATGTCTCTCTGAAATCCAAAAACAGACAGTGCCAACCAGGATTTGAAAAGGCGGTTTGTTCAGGTGACATTTCTTTTTATTTGTTCACCTGTGTTCTCAGGATCTCACTATTTGAAACCCTGGCTTGTGGCCAGGCTGAATGGACTTCTTGTATCACTTTCGGATCAGAAGGAGCTTTTAAATACAGAAAAAAAAAAAAAAGAGAAGGAAGAAGACCAGGATTTGTAACTTATTTCAGAAAGAAAAAGGCTGGGCTAAGAACTCCTTAAGAAACCCTGCCACGTACAGAATTTTCTGGACCTCTTTGCTTTAACTTTGTCAATTGTCCTGACTGCCCATTATTTCTATTCAGTTCTATTTTGGTGGTGTGGGGGATGAACTAGGTTTGCACAAGTTAAAAGTGTTCTGCCATTGAACTACACTCCCAGCCTTACTATTTACTTCTAAGTCTCTTCGGAGTTCCTACCATCACTGGCAGATCTGTGTGTTCTTCCTGTCTATCTGGATCACCAAGTGCTCTCTTTATATAGTGGACTCTTGGCTTGTTGTACCCTTTCTTTAAAGTTTTCTCAGGGTCTTCAAGGTGGTAAGATTATCATTGGAATTTTTTTGTTGGTGGTGGTTTAAAAAATCTTGCAATAAGAGCATTAGTGTCCAGCTCTCTCACCAATTTCTACTGTGCTGCTGGGTTATTTTTTGTCCCCCTTGTAAACAACATTGCTTTTAAATCACAGATGATTCGGTATGTTGCAAATACAACATCAAAAACCCAGAACAAAAGACATTCACTGTGGAAAACCTCCAGCCAGAATCCCACTATGAGTTTTTGGTCACATCCTATACGCGTGTTGGAGAAGGCCCCAATGGAACATTCACGGCAGTCACCACTCCAGATGAACTCTGTGAGTTCCTGCACGTGGAATCCCTCTCCCTGGGAGTTTCCTAGAAAGTGTTGCCTTAGGCTTTGTCTAGATCGGAATTTGCGAATATTTTGTCTCTCTAAAACTTTTTTTTCTCTCTCTCTCTCCCTCTTTCTCCTTCACTTTTGTTCCACAAACTATTATACAGAATCCCACTCCAAAAGCCAGGGCAGGGTGGAGCTAATCTGACTGATTTAGGGGCTGGACTTATTTCTGCCTCCCATTGGCTTCTGAGGCCCTTCTCGAGAAACCACAGAAGCCTAGTTTAGTGTGGACATTCGAAGAGCCACAGACTTCCATATAGAACAGGCCACAGTGTGGGATTGGTGTTGGTGGAATTACTTTCTGCACCCAGCCTTCCTGCCAGCTGGCTTTTCCAGTGGCAAATAACTGCTTCTTGTGCTGCCAGAGGGGGCTGGTAAAGATGGGTGGCCTAGGGTGGAGACATCCCTACCTCCTTGTTTGCAAATTTGGTCAGGTAAAGGTGTCATGAATGGAGATCTATCTTGTCCAAATGCATTTGCCTGGAGAGATGGAGAAAGAATGGTAGGAACTGGCAAATCTGAACATCCACCGAGCAGGAAGGGAGTTGGGGGCAGGGAGGGAAAGGAGGATATTCAACCTATTATTTTTTTTAATAAAAAGTTTAGTAAAAACTAATCACAAATTTGGAAACATCATTAACATCCCCCCACACACACACTTGTTCGCAAATACAGTATAAATGCAGAACTTAACCAAATTTGAGAAATGGTTGTAGTAGTCAAAAAGGCTGATCTTGGGGGCAAAGTGTCCCTAGTGAGTGGAAGAGAGCTTCCCTCCACCGCCCTGGGCCAGGGCTAACCTGGGGCCAGTTGTTGAGAAGCTAGTTCTGGTCCCCTCTTACCTGAGAGGTCTTTCTTTCCAGAGCCCCCTGTTGCCTGATCACATTGATGTGGCCTCTACCTAAGGCAGCCCTTATTCAGCTCACCCATTTTATCTGGTCAGCCAAGTGTTGGGTGAAAAGTATTGAAGGAGACAAATGGGTTGAACAGAATCATACATGTGAACAATCCATTGACCCAGCGAGTAAAATCATTAATTAGTTGAATTACAAGCAGTGCTACCAGGATGATGAGCATTAAGAAAAAACAAGCATGGCTGATAAAGCTGAGAAACAAAATGATACCATTAGCCAGGTGCTGGTGGTTCATGCCTGTAATCCTAACTACTCAGGAGGCTGAGATCTGAGGATGGCAGTTCAAGGCCAGCTCAAACCTTTGAGGTAATCAATACTCTACTGTTGCTCAAATAATAGAGTGCCATCTTTGAGCAAAAAAGCTAAGGGATAGCACCCAGGCCCTGGGTTCAAGCTGCAATAGCATTGTGCACGTGTGTGTGCATGCACGCCCCCCCCCACACACACATACACACACATACACACACCATTACCCAAAGTAAGAAGTATTTAAGCAACTTTGAGACTACTTAGGAGTTTTCTAGTCAGTGCTAAAATCTCAGTGATAGATAAGGTTTTCTTTCAGCTTATGGGTCTTAGGTCAGCTGTGGCCTGACTCTCATCTAGGCTGGGCCAAGCTGAATTTAGGCTTCAGAGTGGCTCAGATGTATTACATGTAAATTCATCTTGGCAGCAGCTACCTGGAGCAAACTCCTGATGGGTTAAAGGATCACCCGAGGGCAAGACAGTCTACATGAGCACATTTCAAATCCTTTTACAAGATAATCACCATCATCTCATTGGTCAAACCAAGACCTATAGTTATATAGCAGGAAAATGTTCTCCATCTACCCACAAAGCTGGGGCAAAGATGGGAAAGTGTAATTCTAATTTGGGGAGTAAGTGAGGAACTGGTCCACTCTAGAAGGATTGATTTGATTCACAAAGCATTTGACCAATGGCAAAAGGTCTTGGATCTTGGCTGACTGTCCTTCTTGCCCCTGGTCAATCATGAAGTTTGCCTAATAGAAATTTGAGGATAATAAGCATGTTATTCTCCTTTGAACACTTAATTAAAAAAATTTTCTTTGAGGAGGTAGAACTACTCATACAAAGATTCTTTCTTTCCTTCTTCAGCCTACACGTTGGTACAGATCATACTGCCCATGATTTTCAGTGTCTTGCTCATCATTTCTGTGTGTTACTGGAAAAGTCAGTGGTAAGTATGTGAGCAAAATTGTATCCAAAACTCAGAGGACATCATCAGCTAGCAATGACATTGTATAATATAGAAACACAAAAGGGTAAAGGACAAAAGTCTAGGTGAGGTTGTATAATTTCTTTGACAATTTTGCTTTGCAAATCAGTACATGAGAAAAACAACCATGTAAAATAAAGAGTTTGCCAGGTGCTGGTGGCTCATATCTGTAATCCTGGCTAGTCAGGGGGCTGATATCTGAGGATTGCAGTTTGACATCAGCCCAGGATGGACAGTCTGTGAGACACATATCTCCAATTTAGCTTGCAACCAAAAAAAGCCAGAAGTGGAGCTGTGGCTCAGGTGGTAGAATGCTAGCCTAGAGCAGAAATTCTCAGGGCCAGCACCTATGACCTGAGTTCAAGCCTCAGGACTGGAACAAAAAATAAAATAAAATCTAATAAAGAGTTTGCAAGTGTTTCAGTAGCCATAGCCAATTTAGATATCTCAGTCTGTATTCAGTGTTCTTCTAAGTACTCAATATGGAATAATCCATGTTGTTCTTGCAAGATCACTATAAGTATTGGATTACCTTCATGTAACCAATGAGCTGAAGTACAATGGAAGCATTAATAAGGAATAGAGGAAGGATTAGAACCCAGACATGGGACTCTAGAGTTCTTAACCATTCCGCTATCCTGTGAAATTTACTTCCATATCCACTGTTTTCCTAGGGTGAAGGAGAAGTGTTACCCAGAAATCCCAGATCCTAACAAGAGCAGCATCTTGTCACTGATAAAATCCAAGGTAAACAAATATGAGGAAATTCTTGGTATATAAAATCCCTAATAAGGAAAAATCCAACTTTGGGCTGTTGTAATGATGTTTTCCTGAACCCCTTCAAATTAGAATCATTTCTGGTCCTATATCTATGAGATAGGTGACTGAAGAGGCTGGAGGTGTAGCTCAGTGGTAGGGTGCTTACTCAACAGGTATAAGGTCTGGGGGGTCCATCCCCAGGACTGAGAAAGAGCTATGGAGAAATGGGGGGGGGAGAAGGATTGGAGCAGGGGCCAGGAAGGGAATGAGAGGGAGGGAGAGGAAGAGGGAGAGAAGGAGAGGAAGGCTGGGAGGGGAAGAAGGAAGAAGTGAGGAAGGAAGGAAAGAAGAAAGGAAGGGAGAGAGAGAAGGGAGGGAGGGAAGAAGAAAAGAGCAAAAGATAGAAGAAAAGGAAAGGAGGGAGAAAAGGAAGAAGGAAAGAAGGAAAGAAAGGAAGGAAGGAAGGAAAGGCATGAAGGAAAGAAGGAAGGAAGGAAGGGAAGGAGGGAGGGAGGGAGGAAAGGAAGCAAGGAAAGAAGGAAGGAAGGAAGGAAGGAAGGAAGGAAGGAAGGAAGGAAGGTAGGCAGGAGACAAGGAAGGAAAAGGAAAATTAATAGGTTATTGGAGCTTTGATTCCTTCTGTTCAGGCAAAGCATTTAGTTTTCAACCCCATCTCCAAGCGCACTTGTGACCAGAAAGAAACATGAACCTCTCAGTGTACTTCACATGCCTTTTTCACATACACCTTTAGTGTACACAGGTATATTTATATTTACATATTCTTTTGTTTCCTATGTAGGAAAACCCTCATTTAACAATAATGAATGTCAAAGACTGCATTCCAGATGCTCTTGAAGTTATAAACAAGCCAGAAAGCACCAAGGCACAAGTCATGGGTACTGAGAAGCCATTCTTGGCGGAGAGTGAATTAACTGCCTACCTTTATCCCTTGCAAAAAGAGCACTCAGGCCCTGGGCCCTGGATCTGTTTCGAGAACTTTACTTACAATCAGTCAGCTTCTGACGCTGGTTTGTGTGGTCACATTCCAGTACCCTCAAAAGACCTACCGTGGCAACAAGGACTGTTGACCCAACCTGACAACTTACTAAATGTGTTAGAAGGAAACTGTGAGCAACCTCTGAGAGAAATCCCAGCTGGAGAAGCAAGTTTGAATTATGTGTCTCAACTGGCATCACCCCTGTATGGAGACAAGGACAGTTTTTCAAACAATCCAACCACAACCATGCCAGAGCCCTGTTCAGACTATAAAATGCAAATGGCGGTGCCAGCATGCCTTGCCTCGCCTCTCCCAAGCAAAGAGAGCAGCTTGTCCTCAGTGGTCCTTTTAGATCAAGGTGAACACTATCATTAACAGGATCTACCCCACACAGACACTGCGAGTAGCATGCTTGGCACCATGTTGCACCACAGGCTTTGGTCCTTTATCCCAGTGAGCAGTCTCTGCTTGCTGGTCTGATTTATATAAGAACACTGCAGTCTGGCTAGATTAAACACTAGAACTATGGGGCTCAGCATTCCCTCTGGTAGGCTTACTTCAGAAATAGTAGATAATGGGAACATGCTGGCCTTGTTGCTGCTTATTCCAGGCTCACCCTTAGCACAGTCTACTTTAACTTGACAGAAGGTTAGACATAGCCTAACCTTCCACAGTACGGAATGGGCATAGCCACTATTCAGGCCTTGCCCTCTCTGTACTGTGGAAGGGAGCTGTGGTCCTAGAAGCTCCATTTCCCATGAAAAAGAGTGTCATTAAATTTTACTCTGATATTTAATATCTTTAGGGTAAAGCAATTGTGTTAAATATTTAATAGGGACCACAAAAAGATTTATTACTGGAACATACATTGTCAACTCAAATTTACTGTGTTTAATGAAAAAGTTACAAACGTTGGACACTAACAGATATTAGACTTGGTTAGAAATTAAGAATTTCTAGTTTGTTGAGTCATTAACATTAACTTTCATTATTGATTTTCATTGTTATTATAAAGGGTTACTGTTTCATAAGTCAGGTAAATGAGTACATTTCTTTTTGGACAATGTCACCACTTCCTTGGCTCTCTCCCAGATTTTTCCCTTCCATCTCTGCAAAACTAACTCTTGAGGCACAGATCTAACCTAAAAAGTAAGATCTATGGATGAAACAATAAGATCTTCATAATTCTTACGTGTAACTTACTGTGGTAAGACAATAAGATTAATTTTCAACTACCTCAGAATAGAAAAGGAAAAAGTATCACTAAGTATTTCCATTGACATTTTATTGTTCCCATTTTTGTTCAAGAGCTCTATATGAACGACCCATTTCCACTTAGCACCCTTTGGACTCCACAGTAGGTTGTCTGGGTCAAGGAAATTCTCTCCATTTACATTCTTATTGTGCTAAACTAATAAGTCAACTGAAACCTCATTGTTGGCTGTAACTTGAGACACAACTTTGAAAAGTTTCATGGAGTGAGAAATTTTTGTTGGCTCTAGAGAAACTATCTCTTGAAATTACACTTGGTCCTCCGTATATGAGGATTCTCACCCCAAGATTAGTAATGTTTGCCTTTGCATTATTTTAGGTATTAGAGATGACATGGTATATAGAAGGATACACATAGGTTTTTTGCAAATATTACATAAACATGAAGATTTAGGTTTGGAAATGGGTAACTGCAGTAGACACCACCGTGGGATGACTGCATATGCAAAATACTGGGTAGATACAGAATAGGTTTTAACACATGTAATTCCTTACTCTTCCCATCAGCCCATCCCTAATGTTTGTTACATTTTATAAAACAAATGGTTTAAGGCCCCCAACTTCTAAGTGTTCTTCTCATTAACACAAGGACAGACATCCCAACAAAGCGAAATATGCAGCTTCTGTGAGAAGCTGCTCCTGTGTTCATCCTCGCATCAATGGCCGTCCCTTCACCTCTGTCCACAGACGCAGAACCGATTTCCCCCACACACATCCCGACTCCTTGGAAAGCTGAGGAGTATCTGAAGCTCAGGATGCAAATGACAAAGTAGAGCGCTCAGAATTTGTGGGCCTGAAAACATTTGTTTTAAGGTTTCTTTCATTTTGCCAGCTGCTGTGTGTGGTAGAAATGACTCTGATTATGCATGTAGCTCTGCTACTACCTAATGTTACCCTACAGAAATTATCCACAGCAGAATATACCTACACAAAGCAGTAGTTTTGTTCAAACTTTTCAGCCTCTTCTTCACAGCCTTTTGTTGAAAAAAATAACATCGCACAAAGCAGTGTTTCCTTTGGTTTGATAGTTGTGAAAAGACTTTTGCTCAGTATTGAAATCACACATCCTCCTTTGTTAATTATGTTTTTCATTTGAAACGTACCCAGAAAATGCCAATGGCACTGATTTGTGTATGTATTCTTCCATTTAGGTTTGGTTTAAAAAATAATCCATAGTCTTGACACTCTTTTACTGTTGCAGAAAGTCTTAATTAAAACATTTCACCATCACATCATTGTGTTCTATCTACCTTGATGAAATCAATGTCTAACTATTACTCAATATAGACAATATTAATCACTTCATGGACTACTAAAAAATTAAGTTCCTAATACACTTAAACCATGCTAAGCTGGGCGCTGGTGGCTCATGTCTGTAATCCTAGCTACTCAGGAGGCTAAGATCTGAGGATCATGGTTCAAAGCCAACATGAGCAGAAAAGTCCATGAGACTCTATCTCCAATAAATCACTAGAAAACCGGAAGTGGCACTGTGGCTCAAGTGGGAGAGCGTTCGCCTTGAGCTGAAGAGCTGAGGGACAGCGCCCAGGCCCAGAGTTCAAGCCCCATGACCAATCCCCCCTACCCCCCCCAAATCAGCCTCAGCAGCATGTGACCTGAAACCAGTGTGCATCAGTTCTCAGACATGCACTCAATTTACTGTATACTTCTGAGAACCAGTGGCTTAAATTAAATCTTCCTGAAATGCAGCAATATACCAACAGCAAGTGCACAGGTACATAATTTCGTGTTCACACTATCTGTATGATTAGAGTTGTGGCTTCTTCCTCAATGTTTATAACAACCAGATATATTGGAATTAAAAAGGGTTTGGTATTATATATCATGTTAGTATTGCTTTAAGGAAGTCCTATTCAGAAGCTTATAAGTTTATATTCATGTATCAGTAGAAGCATTAGGATTAAAAGAAAAAAAATTACTACACAAAAGCAGAAATATCAGCCTCAACATTACACCAATGGCTGGGTTTAGCCACATCAAAACACATTTACTGCACTTGTAGCTCATGCCTATAATCCTAGCTCCTCAGGAGACCAAAATCTGAGGATCACAGTTCAAAGTCATCCTGGGCAAGCAAGTGTTTGAGACTTTCATCTTCAATGAATCACCAAAAAGCTGGAGCAGTGCTCAAGTGGTAGAAAGCTGGCCTTGAGCAAAAAAAACTTGGAGACAGCATCCAGGCCCTGAGTTCAAGCCCCAGGACAGGCGCGAGCGTGCGCACGCACACGCACACGCGCGAACACACACACACACACACACACAAATACTCCCCTATCCCTCTAAGTTATTTTGAAGAAAATAATGTTTCCTTTGGAAATACTTTAATAATTTCTCTAAATAGGCTCTAATTTTTCCAACAAGGCCATAAATACCTTAAAAAATAAGATTCCCAAGGAAGACGGCAGAAGTGCAGGTGGGGTCTAACTGAGCTCTCTCCAAGAAACCAGTTTTAGCATTGCAATGAAACGTACATAGCTAGAGTCATACCAAGTGACCCTTAATAGGACAGAGATTTGGGGCCAGAGAAGAAGTATTCAGGCAGCCCGCTTAAGTAGCCAGACCTGAGCACTGTGGTGGCCAGACAGAGTCAGGACAGAGTGTGCATGGCTTTTAACTCACCTCCAGCACAACTGGATGAGTAGAAGCCAAAATCCACATCCTGCTGGCCACAGATGGACACAGATCACAGACCATTCGAAAAAGCAAGAAAAACCTCCTCAAAAGACATTCTCACTCCTCACAGAACAGCTTATGGAGGGTAGAGCCTCCTTTCCGCCCCCAGAAGAATGCCATCTTTGATACTGGCATTGACCCTGCCAGAGCTGTTAGCAGGTAACTTGGGCTGGAAAAACAGGGGCCGTGGCACCAATTTTTTTTTTTTTTAAACAGGGCAAAGGAATCTGAGCAATGAGAGGCAGCTCTGGCTAGGGGAAATGTCCTGCAGCTCAGGAGGAAGCTTTACCTAGGGCAGGGCTTTATCAGGTGGCCCCGCCCCTCTACAGTCAACAGTAACATTCTATTCCAAGAGCAGCTAAAACTGCAGTTTAGCTGGCTGCTGGAATTAAAAAACCAACAATCTGTAAAATCTCAATTTAAAAAAAGTACATAAAAAATGGATAGGCCCTAAAAGCTGAGAAGCTCTCCAGGCTGGGCCAAAAGAGATGCTCAGGAGCTAGACCTTCTGGGAAAAGCCATTGATTCCAGGTAAGTCACAATCCCACTCACACCCAAGCTCACTTGCAGACGCCAAGCTACAGAAACAAGCCGCCTCCTTCCTGTGTCACACACAAAGCAGATCACCCTTCAGCTAAATTAGTCTGGGAGGAGACACAAAGATCCCAAGTCTGTAATGTAGAACTTTTTTCTACATGCTCAAACAGAGAAACCAGCTAAGCCACAAAGAAAACTGACCATCACAAGGAAATCAAAGGCTCCATCAAGAGACTGGATAGCTGGCATAGGGCACCCCAGACCCCCAAAACAAATTGAATATTTTTTCTAATTGTTTTTTTCCTACTCTTTTATTATTTTTATTTTCCCCATTTTTCTTCTTCTTTGCTGTTCTGTTCTGAGGAACCTAAGCAACTCCATTTCACTTAAGACCCCCATCTCAGTTCTGCAACTTAACCCTTGACCCACCTCAGCCCCAATGCTAGGAATTAGGACAGCAAGCCTTGCACAAACAATTCTCAGAACCACAGATGGTGTTTTCTCAAGACAGTATGTCAAGGTATCTGAAATTCCAGAATTGCCCCTCCTGGGGTCTGGTGAGCATTATCTAAACCAGACACCCTGCAGTTTAGCACCTCTCCTCTTGAGACTCCCCTGTGGTGCAAGCCAACCAGTTTAAAGTATGTCAGCCCCCTTGAGCTAACCAACAACTTGTTTCTGGTCCTTTCCCACTTTGTAGTGCACCAATCATACTACAGAGTTGTTTTATGATTTTCCTGCAGTTTGTAGTCATTTGTTACAAGAAGTTATGATGTATGCAAAGCCCTTGCCTTCCCTAAAAAATGTATAAAAAGTGCTGTAACCATGGGCTTGGGGCCTCTCAGCGTCACCAGCTGCTGCCATGTATGGGGGGTGGGGGGAGGGGTGGGGTGGGGGGGAACCAAGCTCCAGCTTGCAATAAAGACTCCTTTGCTTTTACATTGGTGACCGTCTCTGGTGGTCTTTTGGGTAAGGATTTCCGAATTCGGCTTTACAGTTCATTTCTAGATACACTAGATTACTAGGCTTCTTCCTTCATTGTGAACATACTTCAGATCATATTTTGATTACTTCTCTATTTCTCAATCATATTTTTATTTTTAGTATTATTAGTTTATTCATATACCTTTTTAAAGTATTTTTTTTCTTGTTCCCCCTCCCCTTTTTTCTCTCTGAATTTAGGTCTTAGTTTTTTTCCTTCTGTTCCTTTTCTTCTCTACATTCTGTAAGGTCCGCCCTGGATGGCAAGCAGACTCCACCCTCCTCGCAGCAAAGTCTCCACCCATTACCTGCGTTACCTAGGCAACTGGGACACCTGGAAGAGGTCACATCTGCATCCACTGAGGTCACATCTGAATTTGATGTGGCCACACCTTTCCCCGCCCATACCCTACATAAGGCCTAGCCCAGGCCCAGACGCTCTCTTGCTCTTGCTTTGCTCTTGCTCTCTTGCTCTCGCTCTTCTTTTCTGCTCTCACTCTCTCTCTCGCTCTTGCTCTTCTTTTCTGCTCTCACTCTCTCTCGCTCTTCTTTTCTGCTCTCTCTCTCTTGCTCTTCTTTTCTAGCTCTTTTGCTCTTGCTCTTCTTTTCAAGCTCTTTTGCTCTTGCTCTTCTTTTCTAGCTCTTTTGCTCTTGCTCTTTCTCTTGCTCTTCTTTTCTAGCTCTCTCTGCTCTTTCTCTGCTCTAGCTCTTTCCTCTCTTTCCCAGCCACGTGGAGTGCCAACCTTGCCTGGTCCCAGCAGGTCTACTGAATAAACGTACCCCTCACCTGAATACCACGTGCGTGCTGGTGCAGTTCTTAATCGGCTACCTCTTTTTAAAAACCTAACACATTCCTCTGCTCTTATTTTCTCCTCCTATTTTTCATATCTCTTAATCTTTCTCGTAATTTCATCTCAACCTATTTACCTTTATTTCTGGTCCCTCATTCCTTTTTTATTTTCTTTAGTCTGTGATCCCTAGTTGTTTGTCATTGAGCTAGACTGTATCTGTATTCATTATGGCTGTGTCAAAGTGGTTTTATCATGTTATCCTTTGGTCCAGATTGCTTTAAACCTCATGACAGATTTGTTTACTGATTATAATTATATATAATCCCCACTCCTAATCACAATACCGCTCCCCTAACAAAGAAAAGCAGAGATAGGGGAATATCTATTTCTATTTTGAACCTCTAAAATCAGTGCAATTACAGGGCTCAGGGTTGGTTTTTGTCTTAAAACTATGATCTGTGGTGGTACTGGATATGTTTCTTATATCCAAAAAAGGAGAGTGAAATTATCTATGATGTGAACCTCTAAAGTATGTGCAACTACAGAGCTCTGTGTTGGTTCTTGTCTTAAAATTGTGTTCTGGTATGGTATTGGATTTGATTTCATTTCCAAATGGGCAGAATAAAACAAAGAAACACAAGAAAAATGACAAGTCAAGGAACCTCAATTCCCACTCAAAAAGGCAACAGTGCAGTCAATGGAAAACCTAGAGGATAGCTCTCAAAATGCTCTACAAACAATATTGGTAAACATGCTGAGTGAAAAGATTGAAAGCCTGAATATGGGTATGAGCAAACATGTTGAAGCTAGTCAAAAATTAATAGAGGAATTCATCGAATCCACAAACAGAAAGCTGAATGAATTTCCAAGAAGTAAAGGGAGTCCAATGAAAGTATAGCCACTCAGTTAAAGGATTTGAGAGAAAACACTGAAAACCAAATCAAGGAAGACCATACAAGATCTAAAACAAAGTTTCAACAAAGAAATTAAAGCCAATCTCTGGAATTGAAGATAGTCTAGACTTTAGAAAGAACAAATATTCCAAACAAATCCAAGAAACAAGACAGATCCCTACAAGAAATACCAGACACAATCAGAAGGCCTAATTTAAGGCAAATAGGTATTGACGAGGGCCTGAAGAGGAAGCTAAAGGAATAGGAAATATATTTAATGGAATCCTAGCAGAGAACTTCCCGAATATGTAAAAGGATAGGCCCAAGATACAAAAA